GGGAGCTTGTCAGTGTGGCCTGGCTTCTCTTGGGCCTGGGGTTGTGGGAAGGGTTTGTGTTTCTTAAGTAGCACCTCTCAACTTACAGGTACTGAAGCCTGAAGGAACCAGAGGGAGCATCATATAATTTGGTCCTCTGTAAGCCCGGGAGGAAAGAGACTCAGAAGGCAACCCAGAGAGAGCCCTTTGCAAGCCCATAGCAAAGCTGGGCCTATAGCCTTGGTGCCAAAGGCCAGTGACTTGGAGGGTAGGATTCCCAACTACTCCCTCATCCTCATGTGGCTTTTATTGTGTCAAATATGGACTTCTTCCATCCCTTTAGGTCAAATTTCAAACTTTTATCCTCTTGCTAAGAATGATGGTACGATCCTTTAATTCCAACAATAGGGAAGCAAAGGCGGGAGATCTGAGCTCCAGGATAGCCCAGACCATATATAGTGAGATTCTATTGGAAAAACAAAAATGAAGACTTTTCTCTTTGTGGCCACCATCACTTAACCACATTGATCTCTGCTGTTTGGGCTTTTCCTGGTCTCAGCAGGGGTCTGAAGTGACGTATGTTTCAACCAGTATTTCACTGGCTGCTCCATTTCTGTCCCTCCCTGCGTAGTGCCTGCCAGATCTTTCGAATGCAGCCTGGTATCATAATATCAGCAGATCCTTGCAGAGAGAGTTTGTATTATCTCTTTGCCTCCAGAAATGGCTGGAGACTATAGTTATGGCTCCAGCGGGGGAAACAGCCTATCTCCGAAGGGGCTGGTGAGACCTTCAGCCTTCATCACAGATAAAGTGAGCAAGAACAGTATTCTGTTGACCTCATCTCTTGTCCCAAAGAGGTTAGCAGTGACTTGTAGAGCAGCGAGAGGCAGCCAGTTCTGAGTAATGCTTTCTGGGCAATGATGTCCTGGCACCCAGAACTACAGTAATGTGTATTTCTAGAGAGGACCCCTTTAAAAAGTCAGTTTCTCGTCCTGTTAGAAAAAAAATCCCCCAAAGAAAGGAATTTATTATAAGGTAACCATGCTTTGGAGGATTCAATTGTTTGCATTGCCAGCCCTGTTTTCAATAGAAATTTCCAAGTGAAAATGAAGCAAGCCATCCATGATGGCTTTGTGGAGATTCGGGCTCACTTCTGCTCTCAGGATAACCATAGCAGTGTTCAGAGTGTCCAAGAAAGGACTGGTTCCTTGTCTGGGCTGTGGAGACCCACAAATGGGGCAGCAGCAAGAATCCAATTGTAACTGTCACATCAGTTCCTATGAAAAGGCCATTTTCAAGGTTGTCCAAGATGAGCTTACAAACTGCTCATGTACTGTATTTTCCTTTTCAGTGAAGACTCATGAACTTTGTGGCGTTTTGTGTTTGTCTGAATAGCACAGAATTTTTCTGTGGAGTTGTGGACCCCAGTGCAACAACTTTGAGCCAGTGAGAGCAGTCATATTAAGTTCAGTGATGCTGAACATCAACAAAGATCTTTGTTTTTGTTTTTTTATTGTTCTGTTTTTTTGAGACAGGGTTTCTCTGTGGCTTTGGAGGCTGTCCTGGAACTAGCTCTTGTAGACCAGGCTGGTCTCGAACTCACAGAGATCCACCTGCCTCTACCTCCTGAGTGCTGGGATTAAAGGCGTGCGTCACCACCACCCGACCACCTGGCAAGATCTTTGATTCTTCAGCTGTTATTTTTGCTTTTGAAACAGAGTCCCTGTATGTGAACCAGGCTGACCTCAAACTTAGTGAATCCCTGCCTCCAGCCTCCAGAGTGCTAGGATTAGAAGCGTGTACCCTACCACATGAGTTATTCTAAATGAGAAGAATGCCCTGTTGTAATAAAATCTATTACTTCCCTTTGTTTTATTGAGACAGGGTTTCTCTTTGTAGCCTTAGATGTCCTAGAAGTCACTCTGTAGATGAGACTGGCCTCGGACCCATGGAGATCCACCTGCCTTTGCCTCCTGAGTTCTGGGATTAAGGTGTACATTACCACTGCCTGGCAAGACATAGCTTTCTTTGAAGCTGAATACTAGTCAGAATTACTTTTCCACTTGTTTGGCATGAGGGAAAAAACCCAGTATAAGGATAAAATGTAGTGAGCCATAGTTGCAGTGATCTCAAAGTCAGGCTGATCTGGCATCTTGTGAAACTTGATATACACTCAAAAACCAGACTTAGTTATTCTGCCTTATCCACTGGCTTCTAAAAAGGCCAACTTTGGAGCCCATTTGTCTGCTCAAGGCTCGCCTAATTTGTCTAGGAACTGTAGGTTGGAAACTACTGAGTTTATCTCTAAAGGCTCACTCCCTGGTGTGCCAGCCATCTGGCTGTGGAGGGTGGCTGCCTAGCTTACACCTTTAGAAGGCCGTATTCTTGAATGAAGAGCTACTTCCTGTAGTGGTAATGTGAACCCTTTGAGTCAGCCAGCACCAGTGATGCTACCAAACACGCAGAGCCAGAACTGAAAGGAAGCTGCCTTTCTCGAACAGCTGTCAGGAGCTGTTGTAGATAATTTGCATGCCTGATTCTTTGTACACTGGGCAGAGAGGAGCGGTCTGCAGCTTTGCTCTTCCCACTGGTTAGAAATCTAGTCTTCCTCCAAAAGCGGCCTGGCTGCTGCAGGAGCTTCCAGGGCACTCAATTCAGGTAGACATCCTAGTCACCTGTGTTGTTTTCCAGTCCACGTTAGTGGCCTTTGCTTATGAATTAGAGACCAACTTGGACTGCATAGGCAAGACCCTGTCAACAAACATGAATGAATCGGTACATAAAATGATGCAAGTCTTAGATTTCCAGGGGCTTCCAAGCTAGCAGAGTCCTTATCTGGTTAATCCCTTTGTTTTTTTTTTTTTTTTTTTTTTTTTTTTTTTTTTTTTTTTTTTTTTTTTTTTAGATTAACTTATTTTTATATATGAATGTTTTGCCTGTGTCCTGTCCATTTGTAGCTGGTACCTGAGGCCAGAAGAGGGTGTTGGATCCTCTGGAACTAGAGTTATAGAAAGTTGTAAGCACCATGTGGGGGCTGGGAATTGAACTCAGGTCCTGTGCAAGAACAGCCAGTATTCTAAGCCTCTGAGCCATCTCTCCAACCCGTGGTGTCTGTTTTATAACTTTAGAGAGCAAACAGTGGGCTATTTATTGGGAAACAGAGTCCTCTTCATGAGCCCATTAGTTTGACCTGTGATCCCAACTTGATTTGGTTTTAAAAAGTGATTTGTCTTTGTTTTGAGTTAGATAGAACCAAAGGTTCCTGTTGTTGGGTATATATGGCCAATCTTTTTGGTAATATAAGCTGACCTCTCTTATGTCCTGGTGGCCACCCAAATACTTCATTTGGTGTCCATGTGTCTTAAGCTAGTTACAAAGGTGACGCGGAAGCTTCAAGGCATGCCGGTGGCTTTTGCTTATCCATGATGTCTCCATCTTAGCAAAGGCCAGTGTGCCAAGCCCAGCTAGTCTACCAGTTCAGGAATGGACAAAGTACTGGTTTGTATCTAACACATTGCGGTGTTTCATTTAGCAGCCTTGGGATGATAATTCAGCCTGTGTGGACCCATGCGCTTTCATCCCCACCCCTAATAAAGAAGAGGACGATGAGCTTGAGTACCCCAAGACTGCGTTTCAGCCTCGGAAAATCAGGCCACCCAGGGCCTCCCCACTTCCAGTCTTGAAGTAGGTGCTGACTTTGATCCATGGCTTCTGGGTGTCATTTGTCTCTCTGCTACACATTACTGTGTAGCAGTAATTACTGACGTCTATCTGAGGTTTTGGTGTTTCTTGATTTTTTTTTTCTTTTTTTTCTTTTTACAGCTGGGGCAATAGAGAAGAGGTTTGGAGGATCATGTTAAACAAGGAGAAGATTTACCTAAGAGATGAGCACTTTCTGCAACGCCATCCTCTCCTGCAGGCAAGGATGCGAGCAGTTCTTCTGGATTGGCTAATGGAGGTAAGTGTGGTTGTCCTGGCTGCTGGAGTACCACCATTGCTAGATCTTTCTCTGCATGTGCTCTGAAGCTGCCTGGCATAAGTGCTGTGATGGTGTTTCTTCTTTTCTCTAAATTATTGACATTTCTGAAATCATTTCGCCCCTTAGACATTCTGAAGTTGGCATCTCACTGTTTATCCTAAGTTTGAGTAGTCACAAAGGTTGTTTTTCTAACAAATTGTAGGTATAATATTTATAATTTATTTGAACTGTATGTATCTAAATTTTTTTTCTGGTTTTTCTGTATTGGTCACTGTCATTAACTGTAGGCATACATGAACAGCTTTACCTGCAACAGCCAGATCTCAGTCACTTTAAATTCCTTGGGTCCATTCTTTCCTCTGAGGATTCTTTTTGTTTGTTTTTATTTTTCAAGAAAGGGTTTTCTGTGTAACAGCTCTGGTTGTCCTCGAACTCATGTAGACCAGGGTGGCCTTGAACTCATAGAGATCCGCCTGCCTCTGCCTCCCAGGTGCTGGGATTAAAGGTGTACGGCACCACCGCCCTGCTCCCAGAAGGATTTCTTGTTTTAGTCCGTGTTGAGAATCCTTTTCCTGCTTCTGTGCCACTGCTGATCAATAAGCAGATACACGAGACCAGGGTGGAGCTTGATTACATTCTCCAAGCAGCTAGAGAAACAAACGAGTATGACAGACTAAGATAGTCATTAAATACTAGAAAAGGAAAGATTGAAACTGGCTGTGGTTGGTTGGTACACTGCCTGGTATGAGCCCCCACGTTCAATCCCCAGTACTGCCAACAGACAGTGAGATTTGATTACTGCTACACTTCTTACACAGTTCTTGACTTCAAGAGAGCTTTCCAGGTACCTGCAGTGAGTAAGAGAGTATTTTCTATGAGACGTGAAAGAATCATCTTGGCAGGTTCACCGTCTAAAAGTGTTGAAGGGAGTGACTGAGTCATTTGAATGAATGGAAAGCCTGTGTCCCTGGTTTTTGTGCACCCTGGCAATTCCAGACTAATCTGCTGACATGGGCATCCAGGGGTCTCAATCATTCATGAGTCTGTTTTATTTTAGACAGGCTCTCTCACTTGCTATGGAGTCAAAGGTAACTTTAAACTTCTACCTCCAACTCCCAAGTAGAATTAGATGTGTATATCATAACCGACAAGCACCATTAACCATTGAGCTGTTTCTCCAGCCCCAGAATCTGCCTTCTTGTTCCTAGTATCTTCTAGAAATGCTTTGAGTGCAGAGTGGACCTCTGAGTTCCAGGCCAGCCTGGTCTACAGAGCGAGTTCCATTTCAAGCCAGGGCTACCTAGTGAGGCCATCTTAAAAAGGAAATGTACTGCTCAGTTGTGAAGAAATACACTAGTTCTTTCTTTGAGTCACAGTGAAGCTTGCAAAGGGGGTTGCCTTTGAGCACTGTGGACTTTGAGGGGTGGGGACTGGTCTAAGAAAATGCCACTTGGGGCAGACTGAGCCTGTCTGGTTTGCTCTCACTGTTGTGTGGGTCACAGCATTCCCAGTCAGAAAAGCCGTCAGCATTCTTACTATGTCAGACCTCAGGAAGTTTGCTTCTGCTGTGCCCCAAGAAGCTGTTCTAACACGGATCCCTCTTCCAGGTGTGCGAAGTCTATAAGCTTCACAGGGAGACATTCTATCTGGCGCAAGACTTCTTTGATCGTTACATGGCATCACAACAAAATATACTGAAAACACTTTTACAGCTCATTGGGATTTCAGCTTTATTTATTGCTTCTAAACTTGAGGTAAACTCACTGTCCTTATTTATGTAACAAGCCTTATTTCTTCAGTTCTGCCAACTATTGGTCATATGTATCATGAATCCTAACTCAGAGGCTTCTAAAGTTAAGGTACATGTTGGGAGGACAGACATGAACCAGCCAAGAATAAAGACAAGGAGAAAGTGCATAGACCATTTAGATTAGATTGATATTTGAACTTGGAACTGAAAAGATTGAAATTTGGGCATAGTGGTTCCCACCTGAACTCCTAGCACTTGGACAGCTGAGGTAGAACAATGGGGACTTTGAGGCCCGCATGGCTAGATGGTTATATAGAGTGAGCAACAACTTTAAGGTTCTGTTTATTCATGAGTCCATTTATTTGTGGAGCACCCCGCCCCCCATAATGTGTTTGGGGTTAATGAAGTGAACCTGTGTGAAGCCTTTCAGTAATCCTCTTTCCATGTCAGTCAGCATGCTAGAATCATTTTGGATGCACGTCCTAAACTCAAACTGCCAGGAACGGATTCTCTCTAATAGCATCTTCCTTCTGTTCCCTTTTAGGAAATCTACCCTCCAAAGTTGCACCAGTTTGCTTACGTTACAGATGGCGCTTGTTCCGGAGATGAAATTCTCCAGATGGAATTAATGATGATGAAGGCAGGTTACACATTAATACCTCTGTCTCTCTCTGTGTGTGTGTAAGAGAGAGACTCCATGTAT